GCGACCGCTCAGACCCGTCCAACTACCGGCCTATCGCCATCACCTCCTTGTTCTCCAAAACAATGGAGTCCATTGTAAACTGCCAGCTCATGAGGTACCTTGAGGATCACCAGCTGATTAGTGACCGCCAATACGGTTTTCGCCGTGGTAGGTCAGCTGGTGATCTTCTGGTCTACCTAACTCACAGATGGGCGGAGGCAGTAGAGTCCAAGGGGGAGGCATTGGCCGTTAGTTTGGACATTGCGAAGGCCTTCGATCGGGTTTGGCACAAAGCGCTTCTTTCGAAGCTCCCTTCCTATGGGCTTCCCGAGAAATTGTGCGATTGGATCACCAGTTTTCTTGCAGATCGGAGCATCAAGGTCGTTGTAGACGGTGCAAGCTCCGATTGCAAGCTTATTAATGCTGGTGTTCCACAGGGCTGCGTGCTATCGCCAACGCTGTTTCTTCTGCATATCAATGATATGTTGCAAACCCGTAGCATTCATTGCTATGCAGATGACAGCACTGGTGATGCTCTTTACACCGGCCGAGCAAATATTTCTCGGGAAAACTTCTCTGAGTGCCGGGACAAACTTGTGTCTGAAGTCGAGTCTCTGCTGGACAGAGTCTCGGATTGGGGGCGACTAAATCTAGTCCAGTTTAACCCCCAGAAGACACAAGTTTGCGCGTTAACCGCTAAAAAGAACCCCTTTGTCGTATCCCCTCAGTTTCAAGGCACTCCCCTTGTTGCCTCAGCCAGTATCGGAATCCTCGGCGTCGACATATCGAGTGACGTGCAGTTTCGTGGTCACTTGGAAGGGAAGGCCAAATTGGCCTCTAAAAAGCTTGGCGTGCTCAGCAGAGCGGGACAGTATTTCATGCCGGCACACCGCCTGCAACTTTACAAGGCGCAGGTTCGGCCGCTCATGGAATACTGTTCCCATCTCTGGGCTGGGGCTCCCCAGTACCAGCTCCTTCCACTTGACCGCATCCAGCGCAGAGCGGCTCGAATCGTCGACGACCGAGTGCTTTCCGATCGGCTCGATTCACTGGCGCTGCGAAGAGATGTTGCATCTCTTTGCGTATTTTATCGCATCTATCACGGGGAGTGCTCTGAGGAATTGTTCGGATTAATCCCAGCCGCCAAATTTCGTGAACGCACTACACGGCAAACGTCCCGATACCATCCACACCATCTGGATGCTTGGCGGTCCACCACTGTACGTTTCAAAAGGAGTTTTCTTCCGCGTACAACCTCTCTGTGGAATAATTTACCACCGGTGATTTTTCCGGACCGATACGACCTGGGGACCTTCAAGAAAAGAGCTTACTCCTTTCTAAAGGGCCGGCAACGCACCTGCAATTCCCCTGGTGTTGCGGTTGATCATGGGCGGCGGTAGTCACTTAACATCAGGTGAGCCACATGCTCGTTTGCCCCCTCTTCTATAAAAAAAAAAAAAAAAAAAAAAAAAAAAAAACACACATAGCTATTCTCCATTAAGACTGGCTGCCGTGACCAAAATTCGATCAGCAAGATATTATTATTACTGTAATAATCTATAAGCATAACTTTAAAAATAGATACTGGCCATATATTATAAAGTTGACATATAAAGTATTTAAATGTCAATTTTGCCTTGGATCATCTGATTTCTGTATTATAACATCAAATTGAGGAGCCATGGTAGCTTAGGAGCTAAGGCCTTGCTATAAATTTCACAGCACGCAAGCAACCCGGGTTCGATCCCCGCCGGCTCCAATGAAATTGTAAATTGCAATTTTAAGTTCTGATTTACACCGTGCTTGGCGGTGAAGGAAAATATCGTGAGGAAACCTGCATATCTAAGAAATATATTTTCGAAGATAAACCCTCTCAGAAACGAGACGAGGCTTGTGACCAGCAGTGGGACTTACGTAGGTGGTAACTTTAACTTTTAAACTCAAATTAAAGGACAACTGACGAAGGCGGTAAAATTAAGTTAACTTTATTACGATAAATCCTCTACCCTGTGTTTTGTGTTAAGAGCAAAAGGCACGCTGAAAGCGGGAATAATAGTTGAGAGGAGGATATTGTGGACGTCTGTGGATTCCATTACTATGACGAGCCAATCGTGGACAAAGATTAGAATAGGCAACGAACGTTTGGCTTAGATCTATCGCTAATGGTCCATGGTGTTAGTCATAATATATAAATCCTTACTCGATATGAGACATGAGAGACACCCAAAAAATTTTAAGAATCACGACTTCAGAAAAAAATAAATCTTAGGAAAGATCCCTCTGCATGTGTCAGCATAGCGCAAAAGATATTTGTGAAGGAATCTACCTTATCCCACCACCGTTAAAGGATTAGATCGATAACTTGTGCAGCTAGCATGTTCTATCCTACTTGCAAAAAGTTTGCTTTAAGTATCAAGCTGTATTTTTTAAATTACAGTTATAAACATTTTTTGATACATATGCGTTACTTCATTTTCGTTTTGCTTTTATTGCATTTCAAGTTGGATGTTTATCCTACTTGCAAAAAGTTTGCTTTAAGTATCAAGCTGTATTTTTAAATTTAAGTTATAAAACTTTTATGCTACATACGCGTTACTTCAAGTTGTTTTGCTTTTATTGCATTTCAAGTTGTTTTAAGAGACCTACGGGATTTACTACCTATTTTCCACGTGTACGTGGAAGGACACGATACACGGGTGTCTAAATAACACTTGTATAAATCGTGGCACGTATATTGTGATTCGATTTTTTGTTACGTCTGACAAGCATAAAGTATTTGGGAGTTATTGTCGATGAAAGTCTTAGCTGGGCCCTACAAGTAACCTGTTCTCGAGCTCTAGCGAGTAAAACAAGGAGACTAGCTTACATATTTGAATATTGACGTGCTGTGGCTGGTTATGATGTTCTTTTGCTAACTTATAGGTCCCTGTGTGAGAGCATTATATCTAGTATTTGCGTCTGGCGTTAAGCAGCAAAGACACCTCATACTACCAGAGCGTGCGTAACGCGCCGTTCTAAAAGTTATTTTGCAATTTTGATAATTATTACGGCACCACTGCTTTATTTTGTCTCATACTGTATGGAGGTGACACGGTCAATTGTTGTACCATAACACATGTTCTTTGCAATTATACAATTACTGTAAAACATATTCTCAACATGTTGTTTTTACAGCTTTCAGTCTTTTTATGTTGTACAATATTCGGAAATTTGAGTCCACCAATAGATTAAATCTAAGCTCAAGCCACTCGCTGCACTGACTTTTTAAAACATTTTCATGAGCATTACTTGCTCTTTCAATCGTACACCAATTGCCTTAATAATGTTTAAATTCATATCTGGCTGCTTGGCATTCTTGCCATCAGAGACTTTGGACCAATAGTAAAATAAAGTAAATTTTTTCATAATCTAGTTTTTTTCCTTTTCAAGCAAATTTTTACGCGTTCTTCATTATACTAGTCATCTCATGTACATTTTTATGGATTTCTGATCACAGTCCTTTGGTGTTGAAAGATAATATTACTCGCGCGCACTTTTGATAGCTTCGGTGTTGTGATAAATGTATTCACTTGCCATTAACGATCTTCCCAACCACAGAATTAAATTGTGCTAGAATGTTCACATCAATATATTCAATGAGACTTTTAGAATGAATGAGTGCATAGACAGCAAGCATTTTGATTTTTACCGAAGCCTAGAACTGTCGTTTACTTAAATCTTCTTTACTTTTAGTTTTTTTTGCCAAAGACAATCGCATACTAAATTATCGATATCGTGATGCAACTTTACAAAATAGTTTTCGTTTAATCGGCGGAATAAGAATAAATTCGTTATACCACTTTTTTATTGTTTATCAAATTCTGAATTGTTCGTTCGATTTTAATATTTTATAGGTTAAAATTTTAATAAGTTTCATTCAATGTGTAGTAGCGCGTAAACTTAAAAGATCATTGGACGATCAAGGAGGATTTACCACATCTTTTTTTATAGGAGAGGTGGCAAACGAGCTTATAGTTCACCTAATGTTAAGTGACTAACGCCGTCCGTGAACAACTGCAACACAAGGGGAATTGCAGGTGGATTAGATTGGATTCTCTTATGCTACTACTTTATCATTACAGACAAATAGACAACAAAACATGTTTATTTTGTTATTAGCCAAAATATTTTATATAATATTCTTTAGCGTAGGTAAAGTTATGTCTTATTAGTTAGTACAAGGCAGTTATTATACAATTTTATTCCATATGGTTATATCTTGTTAGGAATATATTTCTCATTAAAACATATTCATACCATCTAGATTTTTAAAGTTTCTATTTCCTCTAGTCTAAAATTCAAACAGAATACCAAGAAGTAATTGTAAATTCTTTCCAATGTTACTTTTTATCTCATTTGTTCCCCGAATCTAATCTTTTTTAGTGTTTATTTCATTCGATCTCATTTTTAAATTAAAAACAATTTATATGGCGCGTGAGAAGGAAAACTTTAGAAACGTAATTTATAAAATAGTCGACTTTTAGATTACTAAATTCAGAACTAATTTACAGTCAAAGATCACATATATTATTGAAGGAATGTATACGTACCTTCTACTGGAATAAGGACCCATATAAGAACACGCAGATACTTGTTAAATATAGTAGAACAGTCATATTATGGTGGCGGCATCCATCACCCCATCGCGTTCTACTGTGTCCAAAGAAGTGAATATAATCATCATCATCATCATCATTACAGCCCTTCACAAGTCCACTGCTGAACATAGGCCTCCCCCAAGTAATGCCACAAAGCACGGTCCTGAGCCACCTTCATCCATCGACTTCCTGCATGTCTTACCAGGTCGTCACTCCATCTAGTGGGGATCGCCCTACACTACGCCTACCGGTACGAGGCTGCCACTCGAGAACCGTTCTTCCCCATCGGTTATCGGTTCTTCGAGCTATATGGTCGGTCCATTGCCACTTCAACTTACTAATCCGTTGAGCTACGTCGATCACTCTGGTTTTACTGCGGATATCTCATTTCTTATCACGCAGAGAAACTCCGAGCATAGCCCTCTCCATAGCTCGCTGAGTGACCTTGAGCGTCCTCATACGGCCAGCAGTGAAGGACCACGTCTCAGATCCGTAAGTCATCACTGGCAACACGCACTGGTTGTACACTTTAGTTTTCAGAGATTGAGGTATACCTGATAAGAAGATGTGTCGTAATTTCCAGAACGCCCAGCCAAGTTGAATCCGTCGATTAACCTCTCGGTCGAAGTTTGACTTACCTAGTCGGACTATTTGTCCCAGGTAAACGTACTCGTCATCAACTTCGAGCATAGTACTCGCAACAACTACCGGCATAGGTGTGACATGGACATTAAACATGATCTTTGTTTTGTCCATGTTCATCTTAAGACCTATCCGTTGGGAGACACCATTGAGGTCATTGAGCATAGTGCTAAGGTCCTCCAGCGATTCTGCCATAAGGACTATATCGTCGGCAAATCGAAGGTGAGTGATATACGCGCCATTGATGTTAATACCGTATCCTTTCCAGCCCAGTAGCTTAAAAACGTCGTCCAACGCAGCGGTGAAGAGTTTCGGGGATATAACGTCACCCTGTCTTACACCTCTCTGCAGTTGGATAGGTTTCGAACTCTGATTCTGTACTCGGATAGCCGTCGGTACTGTAAAAACACTTCAGCACTTCCATATACCGACAGTCAACTTGGCATCGCTGAAGGGACTGTAGCACCGCCCAAATTTCGATGGAATCAAAGGCTTTCTCATAGTCCACATACACCAGGCAAAGCGGCAGATTGTACTCTTCGATCTTCTGTACAATCTGTCGCAGGGTATGTATGTGGTCTATGGTACTGAAGCCTTTTCGGAAACCGGCTTGTTCGGGAGGCTGGAAGTCGTCGAGTCTGCGTGCGAGACGATTCGTAATGACTCTCGAAAACAGCACGTAGACGCGGCTCAGAAGGGAAATCGGTCTGTAGTTCTTCAAGAGAGCGTTGTCGCCTTTCTTAAAGAACAAGACCACCGCACTTCTGCTCCACGCCTCCGGAGTAGTGCCACCATGGAGGACGGAATTGAAGAGCTTCTGAAGGACTTCAAGTACCGGTGTTCCACCCGCTTTCAGAAGCTCCGCTGTAATTCCATCCTCGCCTGGGGCCCTGCCGTTTTTAAGGTGCTGGAGAGCCACTCTAATCTCGCTCAGACTGACGTCCGCGATATCATCGGAATAGTGGCGGATAAGACTTGCTCTTGGATCATTATTCACACTTGCGTGTGGCTCCAACGATGATGTGTACAGCTGACCATAGAACCTCTCAATCTCACTCAAAATCTCAGGTGTCCCGGAAACGAGGTGCCTGTATGCTGTCAAATCTGTTAACGATTGCAGCCTCATCTCCCGTCTAATAGCCATGAGATTAAGAGTGTGATCGGAGAGTTTTTGTGTTCTTCTGCGGCGGGTCTTGCAGAACTTAGCTCCGACCGCATGGACAGTTTCCACGAGCTTATCATTCATATCGTTCACTGCATTGCAATTTTCTAGGCACTGAAAGCGGTTACGTAACTTGAGCTGAAAGGTTTCGGGATTCTGGATTAGAGCACGAGGGGGACGGAGCGTTGACATCATTAGACGTGACCTCTCCAACTTAATGTTTAGGTTCAGTGTGCCTCTAACCATTCGGTGATCGCTGCCGGTTTTCACCCTTGCAATCACTGAGACATCACTGAACAGTTGGCGTCTGGTCGTCATAATGAAGTCAATCTCATTTTTTGTCGAACCGTCGGGGCTCGACCGGGTCCACTTCCTGTGGGGCCGCTTCTGGAAGAAAGAGGTCATCATAAAGAGTCCCTCTTTCTCCATAAAGTCAGCCAGCTGCTGTCCCCTATCGTTCCGTTGCCCTACTCCAAATTTCCCTAACTTCAGCTCACCACCTTCTCTTGTGTCTAGTTTTGCGTTGAAGTCTCCCATCAACAACGTGTAGTGGGTTTTGGAGGAATGCATGGCTCTAGAAATATCCTCATATATTTCCTCCACCTCCTCATCGGGATATCCCGAGGTTGGTGCGTAGACCTGTATGACCTTCAGCGAATACCGTTTGGTGATTCTGAGAATCAGGTACGCGACCCTCGTTGACACACTCCCAATCTTTACAACGTTGTTGACGAGAGACTTGTGGACAATAAATCCGACAACTCCTTGGGACAGATGGTCGCCCTCCCGGTAATAGAACAAGTTACCGGACTCGAGGATTACCGTGTCCTCCCCCTCTCTTTGGATTTCAGATAATCCAATAATATGCCAGCGCAACTTGTCTACCTCTTCTTCCAGCTCCAGTATCTTCCCGTCAGTCCTCAGGGTGCGTGCGTTATACGTTGCCAGGTCGAGACGTCGTAGGTGGCAACCGAACCTCCACCGGAGACTCTTAGCACCCCCAACCCGGCGTTACCATGGTCGCCACCGTAGCCAGGAATAGCGGGGCCGCCGGGGATTGGGGGCCGTTTGTTTACGTCGTTGCTCATGGGGGGATATTTGCCATAGTTGCCACGCTTGGCGAGTGGGTTGGCAACCGCAGTTTTTTATTATGTTATTGTTGTTATTAGGAAGAGTGCTGCTGCACATCTCCTTTCTGTGTCACTCTGTCGCCTCTTACGACACCCACAGGAAGATATGGGGTAGTGGATATTCTCAACCGCCACTACATGGCAATATATGAAAGGCTGTAAATCATGCCGGTATACCTTTTTCGTATTCTTATTGCTAAAATCAGGCCAGCGACAGGCAGAGGCATGATATGTGTGACATTTGGTAGAGCGGTTATAAATCTGCCTACCAAGCGCGAGGATTAAGTCAAATCCTTCCTACAACGAGAGCAATCCACGTCCAGCAGTGTAACATCTCACAATACATTGATACCTTTTTATATATAGCTCAAAATAGTTCACCATGCCTGCTCCGCTGTGAGTTAAATATCACTTGATATTGTTTTTCACCGCCAGAGTGTTTTAATACATGAAAACTATTAGAAATTTCAATGGTCTAGCACGAGAAGGCATGCTGTGAAATTTAAGACATTGCTCTCAGACCTGCATTAGCTTCCACCAATCTTATTGCTTATATTTAATCCAGCCTATTGTAACTCCACACCAGCTGTGATGCTATTTTTAAAATTAATTAATATGAATAACATTAGTAGCTACATAACTTTCGATTCACGTTTAGATGTTCTTTAAATGAATGTCTGTTTAGAATATTTGCTATAACTATTAATAATCGTCCTTATACTATTACTTCTTTTATTGAATAAGGGTGACAAACGAGCACACAGTCCACCTGATGGTAAGTGGATGATGTGGACCATAGACATCTATATCTTTCCTCGATTAAGAATCAAAATGCAAATGCGTTGCCACCCCTGAGTACAAAGATAAAATACCTCGTTTCCAGTAAGAGGGGTCTCCGGTTTTCTACACTCACCATAAGATTCACAACAGCATTGAGCTACTATTTGACGCTGGTATTCTGTGAGAGCGTTGTTCTTACTCGGTCGAGCCGACCTATTCGTGCTGCAACCATAATATATATGCAGCAAGGCTCTGCCACGTAAAAAAAACTTAACGGGTGGGTGGATTCGTTTTAATAGTCAGCCTGCAGTCCACTACTGAATATATACCTGCAACAAAATGGTACTTAGCCTAATCTTCTGTGCACGAATTCAGTTGCTGACGCTACTCGTGCATAGTAGGTTGCCCTCATGCATAGTAGGTTCCCTCATGCATAGTTGGATAGATATTATCACCCTTTTACGTGTTTCTGCCGCTGAATGGCAGTGGTTAACTGCACTGACATACGACAATAAAATATAACAATTCCTTTACCAATAACATCTAAGCTGGGAAATGTCAAATTAACAGAAACGAATTCCCTTCGTATATAAGACATGCACTCGTTTGCAATATTGCGCTACAAGAACTCAATATCGCAATACTCTTAGCGATGCAACATTTCGATTTCATTGTATCCCCACGGAATATTCCACGGCTCTTGATATAGTGCAATATTTATAAAAATATTTGTTTTATCAAAAAGGATCTATAATAACTTTGTTATTTTTGTAATAGCATGCTATTTTTCTAGACACTATGTTATTTCAAAGATGATAATAACTATGTTCTACTACATACTATTCACTACAATAATGAAGTTACGATTATTTGTCAATATTGACATAATATTTAGCTTATCTAACACATATGTTGACGTTGACATTTAGAAGTCATCCCTGAAAATACGCACTCGTATGTATGTAATTACTCTATGTACGCACTAGTTACAAAATTTAGTTTTAAGGTATTTATGAATATCGATAAGCAGCTTATCCTCAACATATTTCCGGAAATACAATTTTCTTCCAACACGGATGAGATTTGCTCATGGGCTCATTATCCAACGATATTTTATTTGGACATCAAGATTCAAACACTCAGTCATTTTCGAAATAACATTCTGAGCTAATGCGTAAAAATGTTTAATGGCTCCGAACCCTCGGGATATCTGCCTAAATTTTTAATTGCTCAGAAAAATGTAACGACTATCCGTTTTATAACAAACTTGTATTCAAATTTTTTTTGTTTGTTTTTCTTTTATTTCATTATTCATAACAACGGCCAACAATATTTTAAGCACTTATGAAAATGAATAAAATAAATAATATCTTCCCGATTTAAAAGGCAATCTTAGATTATCGATTTCATCATTTCATTTCATAACATATCTAATAATAATAATCATCATCATCATTATAGCCAATCATAAGTCCACAGCTAATAATAGGGCTCTCTATCGACTTCTTGCATCTCTTAATAGGTATCAGTACGAGTTTGCCACTTGGGAACCTTCATTCTCCATCGGTTGTCGGTCCTTCGAGCTATATGCCACTTCAGCTTACTAATCCGTATGAATATGTCGGTTACTCCGGTTCTTTTATTTTTTTTATGGGATCGGGTGACAAACGAGCACACAGTTCACCTGATAGTAAGTGGTTGCTATGAACCATAGACATTTACATCTAACCTCGATTACGAATCAAAATGCAAATGCGTTGTCACCCGTGAAGACAAAGATGGAATGCCTCGTTTTCAGTAAAAATGGTCTCCGGTTCTCTACATTCACCATACGAAACACAGCAGCATTAAACTACTATTTTAAGTTGGTATTCTGTGAGAGCGTGATCCTTCCCCGGTCGGCCCAACCCATTCGTGCAACAACTATATTAGTAATATAACTGCAGCATGGCTTTACCACGTATAAACTGCGTATCTTCTCATTTCGAGTCTATCACGCAAGGAAACTCCAAGCGTAGTCCACTCCATAGTTGATACGGTGACCTTAAACTTCCACATGCGCCAGCAGTGAACGACCACGTCTCAGATCGATATGTCATCCCTTATAACGCGCGTACGTGACGAGATGATGTGTCGTAATCTCTCGAACGCAGCCCAGCCGAGATGGATCTTTGATTGACTTTTCGATCGAAGTTGGACTTGCCCGATCAGAAAATTTGTTCTTGGTAACCGAGGACAAACTTTTGCGAAGTCCTCCCAACCACTACCAGCATGGGGGTGACATGGACGTTGCACGTGGCTTTTGTTTCTTGTCTTTGTTAATTTTAAGATCTATCCGTCTGGTGACACTACTGAGTTCATCAAGCACAGTGCTTAGATCCCACCATTTTTATATAAAAAATGGGACAAACGAGCATACGGCTCACCTGATGGTAACTACCGCTACCCATGGACAAGTGCAACATCACCAATTGCAGGTGCGTTTTTCGAGCCTTTTAAAAAGGAGTAAACTCTTTTTTTGAAGGTCCCTAAGGGGAGTTTCACCGTGATGTGCATTCATGAAGTTTGGCGGAGGAGATTAATGCAAATAATTCCTCAGAGCACTCCCCGTTATAGATGCGTAAGAAAATGCAAAAATCTGAACTCCGCAGGTATGCAAAAATCTGAACTCCGTTGCTTATGATGCTGAACATACTGAACAATGAAATAACGGAGTTCAGATGAAAACTGTTTTTAATAATAAAGACGGTTGTGGTGTCTTGAAATTTGTCATCAAGAGTGAATCTTATCTGTGTACTCTGTAACAAATAACTATATAGAAAAAAAATAGTGAAAATAACATTTCGCCATTTTTGTTTGTGTACCTGGTTAGGAACTCGATCAAAAATTTGATAATTTCTCCGTTTTTATACGTTATTTCTAATGTTATTTTACATCAAATTAATTGTGAAGATATTTTCTTTTGGAAATATGTATCATTACGACGATTCAAAAACGTTTACATATATATAATTTACCTCGAAATTCACTATACGCGATTATCGTTTATTATATGTGTTTAAAAAGTATTCAATTATCAGTTTTTTGTGTTAAATGGATGCTAAATATAAAAGAATGCTTCAGTATTGATAGCAATTTATTAATGAAATATCTGTTGAGATGTGTCTAGAAATT